GGCATTCATAACCAGCCACGTTTTTATTAAAAACAAATTGCTATTCATAAAAAACGTAATTAAACAGACTGTCATTAAATATAACACCACTGTTTATGCATGTGTATATTAATTCATAATTTTAGAATTAAAATACTAATAAATACAATCACGTTTTTTACATAGAATAATCATACCAAACATGTATCATTAAACAACATGTTTTAATATTACTCTATTCATGTTGTATTGCATTATCTAGTTAGAAGTAAGACGGTGTCTGATACCAATTATTAGAACATGCGCAGCAGAAGCAAGCATACAATTCAAGCATCAAATACATGTAAACTAGACAATGCTATAATCACTAGATTAGAAGCACTAACCTCTTGAAATCGTTGCACAAATCCTCCACACAGCAAGAATCCAGGGTTGCAGTCTTCTGCTATATGCCTAGTAAAACCTTGGACTATTTTGCATTTGAGTGGGCAAGAACAATACAACTCTAAAAAGTGAGTTATTTGGTGAAATTAGTCTTCTTTAAATAGACTGATTTTTGGCCGAAAAATATCCTAAAAAAACGTGTAGGATTCTGCTTTTACTAGTAGAATCCTACTCCAGCTCTGCCAGATGACTTTTCTCCCATGTCGCTTTTTACCCAAGTTAAGTACAGGTTTTTACTAGGTATAGCAGGGACCACAGAAATAATAAGAGGCTACCAATTATAGCATTAATTCAAAAATAGCATGAATTAATTCTTACTATAATTAATTGCAATTTATTCCACTAAGAAAATGCAATTGAACTCCTCAATATGAATTTCGAAAATTCAATAACACTTATTTTTACTCCCCATTTTAAGATCTCAAATATCAGTTAATTAAATTAAATCACAGAAAATTTAATTTAATCAACTAATTAAATCCTTTACAATTCTGCTTAAACTATTTCATGTGACGGATACAAAATCCACCGGCCGGATTTTCACATGAAAACTTATAAGCTTACATAAAGGGGTATCATCAAACTCAAAACCGAGTCATGGATTCTATCAACTAATTATTATTTCACAAATGGTATTCGTTATTGTCCAATCTATTAGGCATACACTAACTCTGAATAGATCAGAGTCGTACCTTTCGATAAATCAAAATAATAAACAAATTACATCGATCATAATAATTATATCAAGATTTTAGAGAAAATGTTATATATATATATATATATATATATATATATATATATATATATATATATATATATATATATATATATATATATATATATATATATATATATANATATATATATATATATATATTTCAGTACAAAAATATCTTTTCTCCACTTGGTCCGTTCAATATACACTAAGTATACTAGCACAAGAAGTCGGAGTAAAACCACTCCCATAATCAAGATAAATTATACTATAATCTTGTGCTACAATCATCAAGATATTTTATCCAATAATATCTTTGATTGTGAACATATTTTGTTAATTATGAGAACCGACAATTTAATCTTCTGTGCATGAGCTAAGACTCCATACACTAAATTGTCTACTACATAACTCAAAGGACACACATGTAACAAATGATCTATTTAGAATAGTACTTTATTGAATTGAATAAATTAAATAAATAATTGTTCCATAAAGAATAAAATAAAATACTATGTCTAAACCGCATGGTTAATAGTATATCCCAACAATCTCCCACTTAGACTCATAACCATGTGTCTACTACTATAACACTCATTCCTTCTACATGCTTGTCAAAAATCTTCTGTGTCAAGCTCTTTGTAAACGGGTCTGCCAAATTGTCCTCTGACGCAATCTTCAACACTCTTGCATCACCTCTCTGAGTTATGTCCCGAATTAAGTGATATTTACGCTCACTATGTTTACTCCTTTTATGGCTTCTTGGTTCCTTCGAGTTTGCAACTACACCACTATTGTCATAATAAAGTACCATCGGTGCTTGAACCGAATGAACTACATTAAGCTCTTTCAGAAAGTTCCTGAGCCAAACAACCTCTTTAGCCGCCTCAGATGCAGCCACATATTCGGCTTCCATGGTGGAATCAGCAACACATGATTGCTTGATGCTCCTCCAACTTATGGCTCCACCTCCTAAGGTAAAAACATATCCTGAGGCAGATTTTCTAGAATCTCTATCTGATTGGAAATCTAAATCAGTATAGCCAATGGGTGCAAGATTACCTGAGTAATACACCAAAATATAATGCCTAGTCCTTTTCAAGTACTTGGTTACATGCTTAACGGCAGTCCGGTGTTCTCGTCCAGGATTAGGCTGAAATCTACTAACCATGCCGACAACAAAGCAGATATCAGGTCTAGTATATAGCATAGCATACTTGAGACTCCCTATAGCAGAAGCGTAAGGGACCGCCTTCATCTTTTCTATCTCATCAGTCGTTTTTGGGGACTGATCTTTCGACAGAGAGATTCCATGTCTAAAGGGGAGAAAGCCTTTCTTGGAATCTTGCATGCTAAACCTGGTGAGAATAGTATCAATATAAAGTGCTTGGGACAAGCCTATTATCCTTTGTTCGTGATCTTGCATAAGCTTGATCCCAAGGATATGTGCTGGCTATCCTAAGTCTTTCATATCGAAACGTGAGGACAATCATTCCTTTACTGAATTCAACATGCTCACATTATTTCCTATGAACAAAATTGTCACGACCCGAATTTCCCACCTTTGGGACCGTGATGGAGCCTAACATTGCACTCGCTAGGCAAGCCAACGTTACATGATATTTCACCTTTTTCCTTTATCCTTTTATAATTTAAAATTTAACAAAACTAAATCAGCGGAAATAAAAGCAAAAGTACATGATTTAACTAATTACCATTATACTTTTAACCAAAAGGCGAAATAGATACCACCCAGAAACTGGTGTCATAACTCACGAGCAGTCTACGAATACTACAAGTAATGGTTTGAAGGAAAATATATTTGTCTCGAAGAAAGTAAAACAGAAATGAAGTAAAAATAGGAGGGGACGCCAGGGCCTGCGGACGCCTGCAGGACTACCTTGGGTCTCCTGAATGCAGTAACAGCAACCAACCTCTCTATCAGCCACTAGCTCCAAAATCTGCACAGAAAGTATAGAGTGCAGTATTAGTACAACCGACCCCATGTACTGGTAAGCGCCGAGCCTAACCTCGACGAAGTAGTGACGAGGCTACGGTGGGGCATAACAATATATAACCTGCAACAGTTTATACTAAGGCAAAAAGGAAATACAGAATGAAATATAACAGTAACTTGAATTAAATAAGTACGGGACCCAGTCGTGCTACCAATACTCAGCTACAACCAATCCTTAAGGGATTTTCAACACCACAATAATGAACTTGAGCAGAATATGAATACATAACAACCAATGATGCGGCGCGCATCCCGATCCCACCATATAATCAATAACAGTATAAATATTCATCCTTATTACTCATTGTTGCGGCGTGCAACTCGATCCCACCAGTCCACCCTTATCACTCCTCAATATATCACCCTTATTCCTTCTATTGCGGCGTGCAACCCGATCCCACATGTCCACCCTTATTACTCCTTGTTGCGGCGTGCAACCCGATCCCACCAGACAATCACATTTCACCCTTATTCCTCTTGTTGCGGGGTGCAGCCCGATCCCAATATATATCAGCACCAATCACAAAATAAAGACAAGTGTTTCACAAGTTAACTAAAATCCTCCACAACACTTATACCTCAAACCAACACAATGGAATGTCACTACAATTATGAAACCTCACCAGTTAAAACTACACAGCGAGACCAACCAAAGTGTACCATGAAGCACCAATAAACCAACATAAATCAACAGTGTGATATAATGGAACTATGGGACAATTAACAACACCAATAGAGAAACAACATTTAACAAGAAACAATTAGACATGGAAGCATCAATAAGCAAGTAGCAATTAAGACATGAAAGCAATATATAGGGAAACGGGGAGAGGGAACATGCTAAGCAGGTAATTTGGCGTCACATAAGTGCTCGTCACCACACCCATACGCCACACACATGGTATTTCACATAGCAAGCAAGTCGGGAATTCCTAATCCGTCAAGTCAAGGTTAGACCAAACACTTACCTCAAGCCAACGGGTAATTCACCGCTCAAATACCGCTTTACCTCTCGATTCCACCACCAATCCACTCGTATCTAGCCATAATTAACTTAATAACATCAATAAATGCTAAAGAAACCAATTCCAATGCATAATTATAGATTTCCCAACATTTTCCCCAAAAAGTCAAAAATCGACACCGGGCCCACTTAGTCAAAACTCGAAATTCGGACCAAAACCCAATTACCCATTCACCCCCGAGCCCGGATATACAATTGATTTTGGAATCTGACCTCAAATTGAGGTCTGAATCCCCAAATTTCGAAATTTCTAAGTTCTACCCAAAACACCTAATTCCACCATGAAAAGCCCTGGATTCTAGGATGAAATGTTGTAAAAAGATGAAATAGATTGAAAGAAATGAGTTAAGAATCATTTACCTATGATAGGAAGAACTAGTCTTTGAAAAATTCCCTCTTGAAGTTTAGGTTTTAAAAAAGGGGAGAATGAATGAAAAATCCCGTCTAAGTTCCTTTTCACACAGTAGCAGATGTCGCATTTGCGACCTGAGCTTCGCAATTACGAAGCTCGCAAATGCGAGACTGGCGCCGCAAATGCGAACCTGCCGCCTTTCTGCTACTGTCGCGAATGCGAACATTTGATCGCAATTGCGATAATCCCCCTTCCCTGACTACTTCGCATTTGCGAAGGCTGGTTCGCATTTGCGAACTCTGCTGGCCCAGCCTCCTATGTTGGGTGTTTAAAAGGCTAAACAAACCCCAGATAGGAATTATACCATCATTTTGAGTTTCTACAATAGCTCTTGACATCATATGTAGTTTATCTAAATCGAACAGAATTAGTAAATACAAAAAGAACATGATGAATAAAAACACAAAAAGGAACATGATACATATTGGCCCAAACCATCTTCACAAAGGGCTCGTCCAAATACCAGCACAAAATCTTAAGCAGTAGAACCAAAAAAGGAAAATGAAACAAAGACTACTCTTAACTATTCACAACCGCACAGTGCTTCCTAATTTCACCAGCAGAGCCTGTCTTAACTTCAATTCTTCCCATTTTCTCCATTGCCTGAGCAAATTCAGTATAGAACTCTTTGAGTGATCCGTCGACGAGTTGATTGACGTATGACTTTGTTGTAGTACTTGTTGTCAAGGCAGCATCAGATTGGAAGAGGCCTCTCCTTTTGAGTAGAAGCTTGTAATAGCTAAGATCAAATGTCCTGATACTCCCTGGGTCCATCTCAACTTTTGTTGTGTTATCATTGAGTGATTTGTATTTTTTGGCCTTAAGGTTAGCTGCATATTCACTGTCTAAAGATGGATCTTGAGTACCAAAAGTTCCAGTGAAATTGTATAAACGTGTTGAAAATGATGAGCAATGAGAGATTCCAATGGTGTGAGCACCTGAAAAAATTATATTGCCCATGGAAATTATAGTTAACGCCTATACAATGGCATTCAGAGGATTTTGCATAAGCAGTATCGACTTATACTCTTACAATTTCACAATTCGGCTGGTAAGTAAGATCGTGTCTCGACTTTTCTGTACCAAATAATTATTTACTAGTATCTGCATTATTTTTCAGAATAATGAATTAGGAGTACTATTTTCATTAACATAATTTAATCAATCCGCATTGGACTCGTTGCAGATAAAAGTGCGTGGAACCCATATGAAGTTATATGTATATAGTTTCTTGGAAAAATATTATCTACACTAATATAATATAAGAAAACTTGTATGAAGCAGTATTGGTTAACACCCCTTACTCTCTTGCAAATGCACCTATACACATACCACACTTATCAGGCAGTCAGGGCATAACAAGAAGTAATACTCCCTCCGTTTCAATTTAAATAACACATTTTCCTTATTAGTCCGTTCCAAAAAGAATGACACATTTCTATATTTAGAAAAAAATCAAATTTGAACTTTTCATTTTATCCACTTTATCCTTAATGAGAAGCTTTTATAGTTACACAAATATTATGACCCCACAAAGCTTTTATCCATTAAGCTTTTACGATCTTCTTTCTTTCTTAAATTTTGTGTCAAGTCAAATTATCTCATCTAAATTAAAACGGAGGGAGTAACATAATAAATATGTGAATTAGTTTTGGCTTACCAGATAATAGAACCAAGTCTTTGAGGTCAAGGCCCTTCTTAGCAAAAGAAGTATGGAGACTAGATAAGTTATTGAATGGAGCTGGAATATCTGTGGTTTCAGAAGAGTTAGAGATTCTTCCATCTCTTCTCCCCGTTGGCACATTCCAATAAGGGCCTCCCTATCATGCCCAACAAGAAGATGGTCATAATAATAAATAGAAAATGAATGGTTAGAAGTACTAATCTCAATAGACATCCACCTAACCGGTTAAATAGTGTGGATGTATAATATATGCATAATGCATGTATAAAATATGTATAATCTTAACTTATATATACACTGGCTAGGCAAAGTAAACAATGAATTAAAACGAATATTTGTATAAAGATCCTAAATGGTTACAAAGAGTTTGGGAATTAGATACTAGATAGTTCATGTTCTTGGCTTACAGTGACCACAATAGAGTCTCTAGCAACCAATGCAACGATATCAGCACAAGAGACTACTCCAGGACATTCAGCTTCAACTACTTTCTTCACAGCATCAATGAAATCGAAACCTCTCATCAGTGTTTGATTAGGAATTCCTACTTTTTCGGTCTGGTTTCCTGTACTCGAAGTTGAATTCAAGAGCACTGAAGCATCACAACCCTGCAAATTAAGATCCCAAAAGAAAGAAAAAAGAAGCAAAATAAGCATAACAACTATGCAATTGTCAAATGATATATTCAAGTGATACATAACAAGACATATATAGTAATTAACAATTACCCTGACAAAACAATCATGGAAATGCATTCTAATTAAGGCAGCGGCAAGAGATGGAGCATTTGGAATGTGCTTTTGGACATAGTCTTGAATGGTCTTCTCTGCTTTAGGACAGCTCTTCGCATAAAAGTTTGGTTGCAATTGAGCATCGTTTGATGCCAGGAGTCGTAGAATACACATCAATATTAAAGGACACTGTAGAAATTAGTGATAGCAATAAAAGTTGTACATAGGCAATTGTAGTTATACAGTAACACTAGCTAATTAACTCAGTTAGTTAGGACATAGAAGATGTTATATATATTAGAGTTGTACAGATGTAAAACTCAACTACTTCATTACTACTGCAATACACAGAGTAGTTCATCTCTGAGATTTCCTTCCTCTCTCTGTAAACTCAGTATCGATCTCTCCTTTGGTATCAGAGCTATGGATCCATGGTGTTTTTTGAGTCGAGAATCTGAGAAAGGGAGGATAGATAGTAGTGTTCTTCTACAATTTAGCTGAAACTCGAAGATTTGAGAGAATCAATCTCGAAAAAACCCTAGATTTCCAATTTTTCTATAATCGATTTAATTACCCCCAATTGAGATCGTTCTTACTGCAAATTTCACCAATTCACAAAGTTCATCGTCTCGAGCATCCGTATTACAGAGAAATTCAGTTCGAAAATGACGCAGGGAACCATAGATCCGGAGAATAGCAGGTCAGAGAAATTCACCGACATTCATCCTCGTCATTCTCTCTACCTACATCCATCAGATACACCAGGTAGTATTTTAATTCCGCAACAATTAACTGGAATTGAAAATTATATTGCATGGAGTAATTCAATGAGAGTTGCACTGTTGGCGAAAAACAAATTAGGGTTTATAGATGGCAAATGTCTCAAAGAGCATTATAAAGGTGATTTAGATCATGAATGGGAAAGGTGTAATGCATTTGTGCTGTCTTGGATTACTAATTCTGTCTCAAAAGAGCTTGCAAATGGCTTAATGTACTCAACCAATGCACACAATGTCTAGATAGATTTAAAGGAACGCTTTGATAAAAGAACCTGACTAGGTTATATCAATTGTTGCGTGAGATTTGCACCATAAGCCAAGAGACTGCTTCAGTTTCAGAATATTTCTCAAAACTGAAAAATGCTTGGGATGAATATTGGTCGATGGTGCCACTTCCTTGTGATTGTGAGAAGCATAAGCAGTATGCAGAACACATGGAACAACAGAAGCTAGTACAGTTCCTAATGGGATAAAATGAAACCTATGCACAAGCAAGGAGTCAAGTATTGTTGACTGTACCAGTGCCAACACTTAACCAAGCTTATAACATGATCATGCAAGATGAGAGTCAAAGAACACAGTCCAGCATGATTTCACAACTTAACCCAGGGTTGCAGCAAATGAATATGACTGATCCAACAGCCTTTGCCTTCACTCAGAACAATAAGTTCAAGAAAAAAAATGGGATGTACTGTGATTACTGTCATCTGAAGGGGCACCTGAAAGAGAATTGTTACAAGCTAGTTGGGTATCCACCAGGTCATAAGTTTCACAGAAGAAAGGGAGTTGACAGGCCACAAGGATCAGGGAATTATAGGGGAGCATCAACAAATAATGCCAATTTTGTGGAAGAATCAGAGGCTAGTCATACAACAACTCACAATGCTTTGCCAATGTTCACTGCAGATCAGTACCACCAACTTTTGAAGCTGATCAACCAAGAGCCAACTGCTGCAGAGGCAAAAGCTAATATGGCAGGTATAAAAGAACTTCTTAATACCTGCTTACTTGTAGGTTCTGAACCTGATTCTTGGGTGATTGACACTGGAGCCTCAAACCATATGGTCTCTAGTCTGAATCTTTTAACTGAATCTACTCCTGTCAAATCCAATTTCAATAAAGTACATCTACCAAATGGACACACAACTTCAATAACACACACAGGGTCTTTGTTACCAAATGATATGTCATTGTATAATGTGTTATATGTTCCAAATTTTTAGTATAATCTGATATCAGTTTCTAAACTCACCAAGGAACTGAAGTGTTATGCTTTATTCTTTCCTGAATTTTGCATCTTTCAGGACCTTTGTACTGGCAAAGTGAGGGGGATTGGTAAGGAGAAGGATGGTCTTTACATACTTCAACCTACCAAGAAGCCATTACCAGTCAAAGGACCTAAGCAATCTTCCTGGTCATTCCTCAGTACACCTACTGTAGTCCCAAGCTCTACTTCAATTCTTCATACATCAGCCTCAGATTCATCTCACTCCTCATTATCAGAATCCAGTCACTGAAATATTTGGCATCAAAGACATGGGCATGCACCAATTGCTGTCATACAAAAAATACCTCTCCTGAAACACCAATTGTTAAATAATGATTCTATGTCTTGTGTTGTTTGTCCTTTAGCCAGGCAAACTAGATTTCCATTTCCTAATAGTGTCAAGAAAACTGTATCTCCTTTTGAAATTTTGCATATGGATGTGTGGGGTCCATATAGACAATATACTTACAATGGATATAGACACTTCCTCACTATTGCGGATGATTACTCTATAATGACATGGCTTTATTTGATGAAAATGAAGAGTGATGCTTTTCTTTTAATCAAATCTTTTCTCACCTTAGCTAAAACACAATTCTCTACCACTATTAAAGTCATCAGAACTGATAATGGCCTTGAATTTTTTAATTCACAAATTTCCACACTCTTTACTTCTCTTGGAATTGTCCATCAGAGTTCTTGTGTACACACTCCACAACAGAATGGAGTGGCTGAAAGAAAACATAGACACTTACTTGAAATGGCTAGGGCTCTTAGATTTCAAGCTCATGCACCTTTAAAGTTCTGGGGGGAATGTGTCCTAACAGCAGCTTTCCTTATTAATAGGCTGCCATCTTCAGTACTTTCAGGGAAATCACCTTTTGAGTTGTTTCATGGATATTAACCCTCATTTGTCTACCTTAAAGTGTTTGGATGTCTCTGTTATGTCACCACTCCTCACCCCCTTGATAAATTTGCTTCTAGAGCCATTCCTTCCATCTTCATGGGATATTCAGAAACTCAAAAGGGTTACAAACTATACAACATCTCCAGTGGCACTTTCTTTGTCAGTAGAGATGTATCTTTTAGGGAAAATGTGTTTCCTTTCAAGCATCCTAAGTCTACCTTCCTGTGTTATCCCACTCCTGACTCCACTCATATCTTTCCTCCTAAGTCTGCCACTCCACCCATTGATGATAGCTTTCCTACTCTTCCCATACCAAGTTCAGCTATTCCTTCAACCTCCACTCCTGTCATCTCTTCTCCTTCACCTTCTCACTCCAATTCTGACTCTCCTCTCTTGTCTTCTACTCCTGCTCCTCCTCCATCTCCATGTCAGTTGCCTCCTTCTCCTCCTTCATCACCTCCTGGTCTTAGAAGGTCTCTTAGAACCTCTAAGCCTCCCATTTGGCTCACAGATTATGTCCCTGGTACTAAGTCATCTCACACTCCTTATCCTTTATCTGCTTCTCTCTGCTACTCTGCCTTATCTCCCTCTTATAAAGCTTGTCTTACTGCTTTCTCTTCTATTGTTGAGCCCCATTCTTTTGAGCAGGCTACCAGTGATAGTAATTGGGTTCAGGCTATGAACCTTGAACTTCAGGCTCTCAATGACAATCACACCTGGGAATTAGTGGATTTACCTGCAGGTAAAAACCCCATTGGGTGTAAATGGGTCTTTAAGGTAAAGTACAAAGCTGATGGGACTGTGGAAAGGTTTAAGGCCAGACTTGTAGCAAAAGGGTTCACTCAACAAGAGGGCCTTGATTATCATGAGACTTTTTCTCCAGTAGTTAAAATGGTCACTGTCAGAAGTGTTGTGGCCATTGCTGCTCAACACAATTGGCCTTTATACCAAATGGATGTTTACAATGCTTTCCTCCAAGGAGATCTCTCTGAAGAAGTCTACATGTCTTTGCCTCAGGGATTTGGTAGTCAGGGGGAGACTAGGGTGTGTAGACTTCTCAAATCCCTCTATGGTCTCAAACAGGCTAGTAGACAATGGAATTTGAAGCTCACTTCAGCTCTTATATATTCTGGCTTCACACAAAGCAAGCTGGACTATTCTCTATTCACTAAGAGACAGAATAATGACATAGTTATTATCCTGGTTTATGTTGATGACTTGTCAATTACAGGTAGTGATCAGGAGCTGATTCAAGAAGCTAAAACTATTCTGAATAAAAATTTAAAATGAAAGACCTGGGAGAACTGAGATTCTTTCTAGGAATTGAGTTTGCAAGGTCAAGCAAGGGCATTCTTATGAACCAAAGGAAATATGCACTGGAGCTTGTATCGGAATGTGGATTGGGAGCAGCAAAGCCAACTGATTCACCTTTGGATCAAAACTTGAAGCTCACAAGTGTAGAATATGATAAGCATTGTGGAGGACAAACAAGTGATAAAGAACTGGAGGACAGAAGAACATATCAGAGGTTAATTGGAAGACTATTATATCTAGCAATCACAAGACCTGACATATCTTTTGCAGTTCAAGTTCTGAGTCAATTTATGAATGCTCCAAAACAGTCTCACTATGAAGCAGCCTTAAGGGTAGTAAAATATGTTAAAGGTTCACCAGGGCATGGACTACTGATGAGCAACAAAGCTAGTGGAAAAGTGACTGCATTTTGTGATGCAGATTGGGCATCTTGGTCAATGACCAGGAAGTCAGTCACAGGATATTGTATAAAGCTGGGGGATTCTATCATTTCATGGAAATCCAAGAAACAGAGTACTGTGTCAAGAAGTTTAGCAGAAGCTGAGTATAGAAGCATGGCCACCACTGTGGCTGAGTTGGTATGGGTGCATGGATTACTGGAAGAATTGGGAGTAAAAGTTGACCTACCTATGGAGCTCCATTGTGACAACAAAGCAACCTTACAAATTGCCTCTAATCCAATGTACCATGAGCGCACAAAGCATATAGAAATTGATTGTCACTTTATTAGAGAAAAATTGCAACAGGGGTTGATCAAAACAGCACATGTCTCAAGTAGGAACCAAATTGTAGACATATTGACTAAGGCACTCGGGAAACAATTGCATAGTGAAATGGTTGGCAAGTTGGGGATGATAAATATCTTTTCGCCACCCAACTTGAGGGGGAGTGCAGAAATTAGTGATAGCAATGAAAGTTGTACATATGCAATTGTAGTTGTACAGTAACACTAGCTAATTAACTCAGTTAGTTAGGACATAGAAGATGTTATATATGTATATATTAGAGTTGTACAGATGTAAAACTACTTCACTACTGCAATACACAGAGTAGTTCATCTCTGAGATTTCCTTCCTCTCTCTGAAAACTCAGCA